CTGCTGCTGCAAGCACCAACCCTCTCTTCATCCTCAAGGGCAAAAAGCTCATTTTTCTGCACAGTCTGTACAAAAAGGGCTCTCAGCCTCCTTGAGACCAAACCAACCCCCTTCTGCGTGTCAGCCTGAGCAGTTGGTGTTTTCCAGCTGCTCTCCAGTTCATCCCAGTGCTGTGATGGAGCTGGATGCAGCTCAGCTCCAGATAAAACCTTTACCAGGGGAGAGTTAAAACACACAGCTGGGATGTCGTTACGTGACGGTTGGACACCTTCCAGCAGGGCTCTGCTGGCCTCAGCCCACGTTTCGCTATTCCGTAGGATTTCGCCGCCGAATTATTTGTCTCGTTTATCCGTCTGCGCGTCCTTCCCTCCGTCTGCTCCCGAGGTCCTGTCAGAAATCGAGGTTTGTGGCTCCGTAAGGTCGGTCTCGCTTCAAGCTGGGACTTTAGAAAGAGGCAGCTTTCGTGCCGCAAATGGACGGGCTTTTGCAAAACACCCTCTAAAATGAAAGGGATTACGGCAGAGATGAAGGGGCGCGACCTGGCGTGTGTTACGTTCTGCCCAAAAAATGCAAAATTTTGGGTCTGGGGCAACCTGCCTCTGTGGTGTTGGTGTGTTGACACAGCGATAAGCTCGCTGTGGTTTTTTGGTGTATTTTGTGGCAGATTTAACATGGCTGTGATGGACGGACGGGGTTTGGGGCGACGGTGTTTTTCCAAGCCCTGTTTGCAACTTCTCCAGGAGCTACTGGTCAGGTCACCTCTAAATCCAGACCGAGTACATTCAGACAATCCCTGACGAGTCAAAACCATCAGAAATAACCACCGCTGCTCGAGAGGGGTAGGGCTGTCCGAGGGGAGGAAAAGAGTCAGGAGTAGTGAAAAAAGGCAGCCTGGAAGCAGCAGGTTCTTGTGGGAAAAGCCTGAGCTGGTGGCCAGCATCCTTCTGGGGCTGGTGTGGGTTTTGGGGGGGCACGAGGGGATCCCCGGCAGCTCCCTCACACCCGTGTTTTCCTTCCCAGAGTCAGTAATGATGAATGGCTCCGACCTCGCCAGCACGACGGCGTCCAGTCCCAAATCCAAAGACGACCAAGTCGCCAACGGCCACGATGAGAAGGAGAACAACCCCTTTGCAGAGTACATGTGGATGGAGAACGAAGAAGACTTCAACAGACAGGTAAGAGCGGGAGGGTGGTTGCTGGCTCCGCGTTCCTGCTGCTCAAACCAAGGCAAAGGAGTGGCCGCAGCCAACACGTGCCCGCACGGAGATATTGGCTCAAGTGGAGTCACCCTGTTGGTCTTGGATCCGCCTGTAAGGACACAGGGTGGATAAAGTCAGGAAAAAGCCTTTGTGATGCCTTTGACCCTCTTAGATCTTTCTCAGAGGGACGATGAAGGCACCATCATCTTCTCCTGTGCTTTGCTGTGATGACCGAGATCGTGCAATCATAGAATCATGGAACGATTTCGGCTGGAAGAGACTTTCAAGATCATCGAGTTCAACCTTTTCCAAGCCCTACGAACGCCACCAACCCATGTCCTTCAACGCAACATCTACCCTTTCTGCATGGAAGCAGGGAACCAGCATAAAATTCAGTGCTCAGAATCTGAGAGCGTTTGTAGCCTGGCTATCCCCGGGACTGAATTCCTGCAATCAGTTCCTCCCGTTTCGGGTGAAGTCTCCCATCTCGGTGAAACGATCCAGAATACGCTCAGCAGGAGCTTTGGCCGCTGGATGCCGTGTCCATTGTGACCACCTGAAGCTCTTGAGATCACGGTGGGACTTGAACAGTCCTTGTGGAATAACAACACGAGCCAGAGCGAAAGGGAGCCGCGTCCCTGGTCGCCAGAGGAGGATTTCATCAGCCTCACTGGTGTTCTCGGCAGCAAATCTCCATATGGGGATGCTTTGGTCTGCTTCCCAAGGAACGCAGGGAACGTCGGCAGCTGCCTTGTGCCACCCCGCGTGTCGTTCGCGACTGTTGGCGGGGCCGTGACTCAAGGCTTTTGTTTTATTTAACGCAGCGATTAGGCAGCAGCCGGCCCCCACGAGCAGCTGCGCCCGACGGAAACGCGCGAGGTTAATTAGTTAATGTGTGCAAAGCGCTCTCTTGATTAAAAGCCTGAAGAAAGAGGAGGGCGAAGCGAAGCGCGCTGCGGCTCCGCGCTGGAGGGAGCGTCCCGGGGCGGAGGGAGACCTCAGGGCTTCGCTGCGTTGGGCTTTGTGTCACCGAGATAGAATCGTAGAATTATAGAAGCGTTAAGGTTGGAAAAGAGCTCTAAGGTCATCAAGTCCAACCATCAACCCAACACCACCGTGAGCACTAAACCATGTCCCCAAGTGCCACGTCTGCACGGTTTTTGACC